ATCAAGTTTTTGGCGCCGTTGCCGGGGATTGCATCATAAACACTTGCATAGTCTTGTTTAAAACTAAGTCTAGATCTTGGTATTTTCGAATACTAACTTTTTCTTTTAAATCTTGTGTTTATAGGTACTTGGAGATGAATCACAACACCAACATCCACTTTGGGAACCGGACACTGATCCCACACGATCTCCACGGCCGGAGTTACCAAGACCCAGCCGTAAGCATCGTGCCACATCCGTTCCCTCCCAACCGCGCTCATCCGACGTTTGAAGGACCTAGCCGAGACGAGCATCATTACCATCATCATCAAAACCGACCTCCGGTTTATCATCAACCACCTAGACCAGTGTTGCATTCACACCACGACCATGTTCTCAATAGGCGGAGAGATAGCCATTTCGATGCCGTGCTTGAGGGTTTCATGGAGAGCCAAAGAAAAACTAGCCGCGACATTGAGACAAAGCTAGAGTTCACGCGATACGAACTAGATGGAAGACTTGGAGAACTCTCTACCCAAATAGAGAGAGTAGAGTCAAGATGCTTGGACATGGAGGAAGATTTGAAGAAGCAAGGCGAGGCCATTGAAGACAGTAGAGAGCGATACACTTTACCAAAGTTTCTACCAAGGAGATGGACAATCACTTAGATGAGAAGATCACAAGTCTTGATAACAACCTCGATGGCACCACCAAGAGTCTCAATTCAATAACAGCAGTAGCTCATCAAGCTAAGAGGGAGGTAGCCGAAGTAACCCTAAAAGAGAGGCAATGTTACTCGACGATGCTTACATTGGTGGAAGGGCAAAAACAAGTGAAGGCACAAATCCGAGATTTACACATCTCTCTAGACAAGAGGAGCCAAGATATTCAAAGAAGAGCTAGAGGGCTTGAAGACAAAGTAGATGGAGTCTCCAAGGAAGTCAAGGATTTAACCACTCGCTTAGCCAACTTGGAAGAGAAGGTCTTGACCGAGGCAAGACGACCGTTCTAAGCACAACCATGCCGCGCCCGTCTTTACTATAAGAGAGACCGACCCAAGAGTGATTTGGGATGAAGAAGAAAGGAGAGCTGATCAAGAAAGAGCCACAAGGCTAACCACTGGAACAAGAGAGAAGATAGCACCAAAAGGAAGAACCCTTACTCAAAGGCTAACCATTGGCGAGCTTTGCCATCAAGTGAGAATGGGAATAAACGAAGTTTGGTTGCGTCTTCGCTTACCCCATTCTGTGTGATCAAATCACATGCTCTGTCAAACTCGTCAAGATGGTCCAACGGGTCTTCCTCAGGTAGACCGTGATAGATCTTTTGTTGGACTTGATGCAGAATGTGCGGTTTGATTTCGAAGTTGTTGTGCACATTCGGCGGGGCTATGCCTTGACGGTTTTCGTGAGTGTTAGGTGCATCGCCGGCACCTATTTGACGGTGAGGTCGCAGAGGTGGATTGTTTCGCTGACCACCTTGTTGTTCCGGTCCGGGTGGGAATCCTTCCTGTTGGGGTTGGGCTGCCATGTCCGGAACCTCTTGTCTTCTGGTTCGCGAAGTAACTCTGCGTGACCGTTTGTTTTGCTCTGCTTTGTCAAGATCGCTTGTACTTAGGAGGTTGTCTCGTCCTTTGGATCTGGTGTGCATACACCTGAGGTCAAAGATGAGAGGTTTCACAGAAAGTTAGCGACTTTAGGCAAGATAGAGCAAAACCGACTTAATCTAAGGTTTTTCTTGAAAACGAAATGCTTAAAAGTCTCCACTTTGGCAACGGCGCCAAGTTGATAAGTAGGATTTTTGTATCAACTACTCTCAATCCATACCACTCATGTCATTGTAGTACTTGAGATGTCAATCCAAGTGGAGATTTAAACTTCGAAATAAAGAAAAGGCAAAGATCAAGTTTCGATAAAAGATTGGGTTTTGTTTTGTAAAGATCTATGCTTTAAGCTAACAAGATGAAATAAAGATTTAAACTTTGACAATAAAAGATAAAGGAGGCGTCTTGGGTGAGACTTAGTTGGGATCAAACGAGCTCAACCTTCCTTTCTCAACACACCAAGACTCAAGCTTTGTGCTTAGACTTTGGGTAAATCCGCCACTCTCGTGGTCAGATCGCTTTGCAAGCTGAGAATCCAAAGCTAGCTCTCACTAGTGGACTCAAAGTTACAAGCTTTCACAAGATCTAGTCTAAAAGTGCACAAGATACATCCCAACAACCAATCTCTTAGGTTGGGAATGTTTCTCTCTATCGCTAGCTCTCTTAGGCATTAACGCAAACACCTTCTAGGTGTACTAGCCTAGATTCGCGACTTCAAGTGATCAAGAAGAAGCCGAGATATAAAGCTCTAGCTAAAGAAAAGCTGGTCAAGGGAGATTAAGGAAGAGGTTAACAGGAAGCTAAAGCTCTGACCTTTCCTAATCTCACCCTCGAAACCTCTAAAGAACTACTCGCTACTCATACTCGAACCGAAAGCAAAGAGGTAAAGAAAGCTAGAAATCATCATTAAGACAAGATTAGCAAACTAAGTACTTCTTAAACTTAAAAGATTCAAAGTAAAAGCTTACAAAAGATCTCCAAGAACAAACTGTTTTTCTTGGAGAGAAACTGGTTACAAGATAAAGATTGCCTAAAATTAGGTCTTAAAGGTTTATATAGAGAAGGGAAAAGTGTATCCTTTGGTCAACGTTTTTGCTTTGACTTCACAGATGCGCGCAGCTTGAGCAACTTCCTCAAGCACTCTGTTTCCTTTTGCTCAAGGCTCTGTTCCGTCTTGCTTGTTTTGCCATCCGATTACTCCGATCTCCTTCTGGTTCATCTCCGATCATCACCTCCGGTCCCTCCTTCGCCATAAGCTCCGAATACCTGATAAATGCACCCCAAATGCAATGGAAATGCAAAATGCTATCCTAAAGGCTAAATGATCCTAAGTAGACTAAAGCTACACTAAATGTTATGAAATGAGACTCAATTATACACAGAATTATGCAGTATGAGAGGCTAAATGCATGCAAATGTTGAGTACATCAGCGATCGACCAAATAGTGCTCCTTCGGGCATCTCTTGAACTAAGAGGAATTCATCGTACCGAAACGAAATTTATATCGACCAACCTTGTGTTTTATGGCTCCTTGTGAAATTTGAGGCTGTTCGAACGAGAGGATTGGGAGTTGGTTCGTTCGTGCACGCCAAACGTCTTTGGGATATGTTTCCTTCTGCTGGATGGTGTTCTGCTCGACCTTCTCCTCCTTTTCTTCTTCTTGGTGTTTTTTACTCCAGAGGATCAGTTTCCACCGGTGTTCGCGCCTTCTTGAGGTTTTGAGTTCGTCGGCCATTTTATGCATCGCCGTCGGCCGGATTGACTCTTCTTGTCTATCTCAAGATCCATGCACTTTCGCGTCCTATCTTTTGGATTTGCCGACCAAAATGATGTTTGAGGTCGCCTGTGAAGTTTGGTGGACTTCGGTCGTGCCGTTTGTGAGATGGTCGAGCATGGTCTCTTGGTTCGTCGATTCTGGCCGAAGAGTGTGATATCTCCTTTTACTCGGGCCAATTGAGTTCTGCTTCGACCGAACTGTTTTTCTATCCCTCCTGGATTGAATTGTGGTTGGATTTCCCTCATCTCTCATGTTTGGCATGTAAATCCTCCTTTGGCCGGTTGTGGCTTTTGTGCGCCATGTTTGTTTGATATTTTGAACCGGTTCTTTCCTGTCATATGTTTAATCTGAAAAACACTAGTATTTTGTTAAACTCTGTCAATGATTGAGATGTTCAAAATGTTTGAACTTCCCAATCAAAGACTTGATCGTGAACCATACATGTACTTGGGTCTTGATCAGAGATCCAAGTAGTGTTCATTGGTTTAAGATAGAGAAATAGTGTTTAAAAGAAATGACAATTGAATGGAGTGTACTTACCTTTGCCTTGTGCAATAGTGTTCCAATGGCTCTTTTTGGATTCTTTGCTTCTTGAAACATGGGTGGGACTTGGGTGGGACTCAAACTAGACTCAATGCTCAACACTTAGACCAAAGATGGTTAATCTTTTGGTCCGATTGTGGCGATGTAGCTTTCCAATGCATTTTTCATGTAGACCTCCTTTTTGGTACTTTTTCCTAAAACACTTTTTATTTTATTTTTGTAAAATTTATTAAACTCTCAAAAATTTAAGAGTTATAAATAGAACAAATAAGTAGTTATAAAAATAAAAACAAAAATAAAAATAAGAAAATGTGGGTTGCCTCCCACAAGCGCTTGTTTTAAGTCTTTGTAGCTCGACTCCTTTGTGTTCTTAGTTAGGTAGGATTGGTGGCTCCAAGAACTTCCTGTTGCCTGATGATTCCAAGTGCATCTTGTCCTGTAGAACTTCCTTGATCAAGTAGCCATGCGACTCTCCTCTTACTTGTGAGCACTCTCCTCCACTTGTGTAGCGAAATCGCTTGGATGAGAAACCGGGAGGTGCAGCATCGTAGAAGGTGTCCTTGTCAACATTGGCTAGAGAGATTCTTCTATTAGGCCAATCCATGATCGCTCCAGCTGTGGCTAGGAATGATCTTCCAAGCAAAAGCTTTAAGTCCTCCGGATCCTTCATGGTTACTACATAGAAGTTGGCTGGAACTATGCAGCCTCCAAAATCAAGCTGAATGTCTTTAACCTCTCCAAGTGGTTCGGTCAATGATGAATCAGCTAGCTTTAAATCCATTCGAGATTTCACAATTGAATTGATCAATCCCAACTTCTTGGCTATCTCGGCCGGCATAAGGTTCACACTAGAACCGGAATCGCAAAGAGCATCATCAAAGTAGCTTCCATTGATAGAGAAATGTATAAGGAAGTAACCTGGGTCATGAAGCTTGTGTAGAAACCTAGGTTTAGGCATCCCCTTTCTTGCTTCCTCGTACATCTTTTCCAATTCAGCTAGACTCCAATCTTGTGTCCAAGCTAGGTCTTGCATGAATGGACTCTTGTTGCAAGCATTATCAAACGGCACACCATAAGGGAATCTCCTCGCCATAAAGTTGAAATCATCTATGATCTCTTCAAGTGATGATCTTGTCTTCCTCTTCTCCTTGGTGGGAGGCGGTTGTGAAGACCTTTGAGTAAGGGTTCTTCCTTTTGGTGCTATCTTCTCTTGTTCCAGTGGTTAGCCTTCGTGGCTCTTTCTTGATCAGCTCTACTCTTCTTCATCCCAAATCACTCTTGGGTCGGTCTCTCTTATAGTAAAGACGGGCGCGGCATAGTTGTGCTTAGGAACGGTCGTCTTTGCTCGGTCAAGACCTTCTCTTCCAAGTTGGCTAAGCGAGTGGTTAAATCCTTGACTTCCTTGGAGACTCCATCTACTTTGTCTTCAAGCCCTCTAGCTCTTCTTTGAATATCTTGGCTCCTCTTGTCTAGAGAGATGTGTAAATCTCGGATTTGTGCCTTCACTTGTTTTTGCCCTTCCACCAATGTAAGCATCGTCGAGTAACATTGCCTCTCCTTTAGGTTACTTCGGCTACCTCCCTCTTAGCTTGATGAGCTACTGCTGTTATTGAATTGAGACTCTTGGTGGTGCCATCGAGGTTGTTATCAAGACTTGTGATCTTCTCATCTAAGTGATTGTCCATCTCCTTGGTAGAAACTTTGGTAAAGTGTATCGCTCTCCTATTGTCTTCAATGGCCTCGCCTTGCTTCTTCAAATCTTCCTCCATGTCCAAGCATCTTGACTCTACTCTCTCTATTTGGGTAGAGAGTTCTCCAAGTCTTCCATCTAGTTCGTATCGCGTGAACTCTAGCTTTGTCTCAATGTCGCGGCTAGTTTCTTTGGCTCTCCATGAAACCCTCAAGCACGGCATCGAAATGGCTATCTCTCCGCCTATTGAGAACATGGTCGTGGTGTGAATGCAACACTGGTCTAGGTGGTTGATGATAAACCGGAGGTCGGTTTTGATGATGATGGTAATGATGCTCGTCTCGGCTAGGTCCTTCAAACGTCGGATGAGCGCGGTTGGGAGGGAACGGATGTGGCACGATGCTTACGGCTGGGTCTTGGTAACTCCGGCCGTGGAGATCGTGTGGGATCAGTGTCCGGTTCCCAAAGTGGATGTTGGTGTTGTGATTCATCTCCAAGTACCTATAAACACAAGAAAAAGAAAAAGTTAGTATTCGAAAATACCAAGATCTAGACTTAGTTTTAAACAAGACTATGCAAGTGTTTATGATGCAATCCCCGGCAACGGCGCCAAAAACTTGATGGGCATCTATGGGATGAGTACAAGTAATAATTCCCTAAGACAACTAGAGTTGCAAGTGCACAACATATAATTGTAGTATTTAGGGGTCGAACCACAAGGGATTGGATTTCACACATTACATAATCATAGAGTTTAAATGATCTAAGCTAAATCAAAAGATGCAAGGGTTTGTGTTTGTTGAGAACACGAAAAGCAAATAACAATGCAATTCTATACAAGCAACATTATTGAACTATTGAAAACTCTTTTGAAAACATGAGCCAAGTCGATTGAAAAGTTTGTTAAAATCCGATTCTTTTGAACTCAAAACACTAAGGAAGGATTATTCCACTTTCGTGGTTCCAATCCCCTATGTCTCTTAAACCAATGGGCTCAGCTTTCGTTGGTCATTGTAGAGTGAGACATGCATTACATCCAAGTAATGATTGTTCACAAAACTCTTTAGGTCTACTTTCGTAGCCTAAAACGATTTGCCCATCAAATAATATCCGGAGATATAACAAGCTTTTGGAGAGTATATCAACCTAAAATCAAGTCACTAGTTAGCTACTCTAGCAACAAGCATTAAGCATAAATAAAGATGGAGAACCATAGGGTTTCCCCTTTTAACAATCGATTTCGAAGGCCATTATATCATGTCCTCATTGGAAGGATCCATAATTCAACAATGAGTCATAGATAGTAGATGAAGTCTCATGAATCCTTAGAGAGAGAGGCGGCGGAATATGAGTCAAACGCATCTCACCCTTAGGGAGAAATCTCTACTTCTAGACTATATAAATTGAAACATGCAAGCTATATACAAATGCAAAAGAAGAAAAGAAAGAAGAAGGAGACCACCTAAGTGGCTCCGAACTTTATTGAATAATGATGTGGTGATCTATTACAAGAGGCTAAAAGCAAGTATATATAGGTAGAGAGCGGGTCTAGGTCGGCAAAGTTGAGCGCGCGCAGAAGAGGAAAGTTTCCATTTCTCTTTAGCCGCTTGAGCTTGCTCTCCAAGTTCTTGAATGGGCCGTTTCAGGCCAATGGAAGCTTCTGGATTGAGTTATGCTAGTGTCAAGATGAGCCAAGGCCTTGGGCGCGGTATCTCGGGCCTCTTGATCCATCAAAGTCTCCATGGGCTCTACTTAGGCGCTCGTCGGACATGTCTTGGTAGAAAATAAGTTCCGGTCCAACGAGTGATCCAAATGACCTCTTTCCACTTCGCCGCGGGTCATGACGACTCAAATATCTATCTTTCCATATAAGAATCATGACTTTTGGACGTCGGGAAGGCATGAATATGCGGTCGTACTTCGGATGCTCCGGTTTGGTCTTTAGCGAGAAATGTAGATTTTGGTGCTCTAGACTTGGGAACTTGGTGATTTGACTCTTTTTGCTCCATTTTGACTCTTCTTTGCTATTTTGACCTGAATGATGCTCAAAACCAGAATATACAAGAAAACTACCTCTTGGGCAAAAACCACATTATTTGTATTAAAAACATAGTGAAAACCTTGATAAAAACATGAAAGATATGGATATATCACTCGTGTTGGCCCGTATTTGCTCTAAGGCTACTACAATGAAACGATGCTTTAAATTTGATAAAAGGTGGCTTGGAAAAGATGGTTTGGAAACGGCAGTTCCTTAGGTAAAATAACAAAATAGCCTCATACAGACTGAACTTGCGCGATGGAAAATGACAAATAAGACAAACTCCACTAAGAAGATCGAAGCCATTAAAGCCCAAGTGAATGATCATATGTCTAGTGAATAAATCCTAAAAATCAAATGGGATTTATGTGCTGCATACAGAGAAGAGGAACTCTACCGGAAGCAAAAAAGTAGAATAACATGGCTTAAAGAAGTGACAAATACACACAAAATTTTCAAGCTACCACCAAGCAGAGAAGAGCGTGAAACCGGTTTACGAAACTTAAAAAGCCAGACGGTTAGAAACAGAAGATGGTATCGAACAAGTAGCTACAGAGTACTTCCAAAACCTGTTCACATCGTCCCAACCAAACAATTTCGATGAGGTTATCTGGTACATTACCTTGCAAGTTACTCCAGCTATGAATCAATCACTAACAAGAGTTCCTAATAATGAGGAGATATAACGGGCTATCAATGACATAAATCCAGAAAAATCTCCGGACCAGACGGGATAACAAGCTTGTTCTATCAAAAGGTTTGGGATGTCACGGAAAAAGATATAATCCAAATGGTCAAACACTTCTTTACCTCAGAAACTTTGGATGCACGGTTAAACCAGACGAATATATGACTCATCCTAAAGACAGAACGGCCAAGAGATATGACGGAATTTCATCCCATAAGTCTTTGTAATGTAAGTTACAAGGTTTTTTTCAAAAATTCTGTGTTATAGGCTCAATAAGTTTCTCCCGAAACTTATATTGGAGACCCAATTAGCTTTTCTAGCTAGACGCCAATATACTTATTGCTCAAGAAGTCTTTCGTGCCCTCAAAACCAACCCAATCTGCAAGTCCAAATTTGTTGCCATTAAAACGGATATGAGCAAAGCATATGATAGAGTGGAATGGACTTTCTTGGAAGCTCTTATGTTAAAAATGGGATTTGGAGAATAGTGGGTTTCTTGGAAGGGTCACATAAGCCCCTCAAGAGGACTGCGACAAGGGGACCCCCTTTCACCTTTCTTGTTCATTATCTTGACTGAAGCTCTTGTGGCATTATTGAGAGGAGCAGAGGCGGAGGGAAGAATCATGGGCCTAAAGATCGCACGAAACAGTCCCGCGGTGTCCCACTTCCTCTTCGCAGATGATAGTCTCTTCTTCTGCAAAGCGGACACCTCACAATGTGCATAGCTTATCAAGATAATAAACACTTATGGGAAAGTATCCGGACAACAACTCAATGTTTCCGAATCCTCGATCTTTTTTGGAAACAAGGTCCCCCCAGATACTCGAAATGATTTTAAACGAACCTTAGGCATCACTAAAGAGGGAGGAATGGGTATGTACCTTGGCCTACCAGAAAAAAATATGCGGTTCCAAGAAACAGGCCTTTGCTTTTATTCAAGACGATCTGAGTAATAGGATCAATTATTGGTCAGCAAAACTTCTATCAAAAGGCGGCAAGGAAGTACTTATTAAGTCAGTCGCCCAGGCCTTCCGACCTATGTAGTGTCGTGTTTTCTTCTTCCCCAAGATATCACAAAGAAACTACAAAGTGCCATCGCTTAATTCTAGTTGAGTACAAAACAAAAAAATCGAGTTTCACATTGGATAGCTTCGGAGAAAATATGTATGGCAATTGATAAAGGACTAGGATTTCGTGATCTTAAATATTTCAATATTGCTCTTTTCGCAAAGCAATTATGGTGGATCCTCCAGTTTCCAACGTCCCTTCTGGCTTGAGTTCTCAAAGCAAGATATTTTTAGTATTCTAACCCGCTGAATGTTAAGAAAGCTACTCTCCCTCTTACGGATGGACTAGCATGATTGCGGCTCGAGATCTTCTCAAAGGTGGTCTATAGGATCTGGAGCAAACACTGCAGTTTGGAGCGACTCTTGGCTATATCAGTAAAGGAGAATACTAAGATCCATATCTTCTAGTCTATCACTTAATTGACCATCGGACAAAAACACGGAAGAGGATATCTTAAGATCACTGTTTACCGAGGAGGATGTGAAACGAGCAAAGAGCATCAAGCCTACACGAATACACCAAGCCTATAGATTTATATGGGGGTACACAAAATCCGGTATATACTCTTTTAAAACCGGATATGAACTTGCGATCCAACTCAAGGAGGAGAGCAGCCCACGATACGTCCTGGAACCAAGCACAAATGCTCTGAAAACCAAAGTATGGTCTGTTTAAACCCCCAGAAAAATCAAACACTTCCTATGGCAAGCAATTTTGTGATGTTTCCCTGTTAGGAACAGCTTAGTGGAACGACATTGTGGCACAGATCGTTCATGTCCAAAATGTGAAAATGAAGTGGAAACTGTAAACCACTTATTATTTCAATGCCCAGCAGCGGCACAAGTTTGGAATCTAACCAACTTTATAACTTCTCTGGGCGATTTCCCGTGTAATGCTCTATTCAGAAATTTTGATTTTCTATTCTGGCGAGCAAGTGAACAGGGCACAACTGAAAATGCAACCATGAGTTGTTGTGGATCCTGTGGTACCTATGGAAAGCCCGCAACGATAAGGTCTTCAACGATAAGGACACTCTCCCCATTGATATGTACCATCTTTCAAAGGCAGAAACAGAGAACTGGGAACTGGCCCATTTGGTTGAAGTCACCGGAAACAAAGACCCCCCAATGGAAATAGAAACTGCTCGAAATAAAACCGAACGACTCTTCCCTATATGCCAAGTCGATGCTTCATGGAGCAAAGGTTGTGACACATGTGGAGGAGGATTTGTTCTTTAGATTACAGATGGAGTATGGGTCTTTGAAGCTTTTGCACACGACCAAGTACAATCTACGATTCATGCAGAACTTGCCGCGCTCACTTGGACCATGAAAGCAGTTCTACAACAAGGTTATACGTCTATCAAGTTTGAATCTGATTTTCTTCAATTGGTTCAACTTATTGAAGAAGAAGTGCATTGGCCGTCGATGGCTGCATAGTTAGAGTTCGAAGAATTTCAGTTTTATTGCTCTGCTTTCAACTGTTCTTCCATTTCTTTTATCCCACTTTTGTTGAATGTCTGTGCCGATTGCCTGTCAAAAGGAGCATGAGCACGTGGTTTCGTTTTCACCTATATAAACTCTAAGGTTCTGAGCTGGTTAGCCCACGAAGCTAATCATCTCGTTTCAGTAATACATGGATTTCGTTGTCAAAAAAAAAAAATATATATATATATATATATATATATATAATCAAAGGAAGCTATGAGCTATTTGATATTGCTGAGTGCTGACCTTCATGAAATCGTAGCAAAGCCAAGTCTTTCACGAACATTGAGTTTAGCAACAAGATTATCTCTTTGACTAATCCCTAATATACTAAAGCACAAGTCACTCGCCCAATGGCAGAGTGACATGTGTCAAGTTTAACAAAATTAAGCGTTACTTAATCTCTTAATCAAGACACGTCAGCATATTTACATTTAAGATTTTAAGAAAAAATAAAACGAGATATTGGTAAATAAAAAAAAAGGTATCGACGGTTTCTCGAAAATGTCCGCCATGACACCCACACCCACCACGATCCTTCTTTTCCGGCCACGATCTTTCAGATTCGAGAAATAATAACCAACATAGAAGCTTCCAATCTAAATCGAAAACAAAATATGAAAGTTTTGCACTCCTCTTCAATCTCAAAATCATCATTCAAAATTAGAGTTGATATGAATGTATCAAGTCAAGACAGAGTTCGGTTTGGGTAAACGGATATTAGCGACCTGCTGTCTCACTCCTCCGTACAGGTCCATCCAGAGCACCGGTTTGATTTATCGGAACCAGGACTAAAAAGGTTCGAGAAAGATTGGATCTGAGCAGGCCCGGCCTTGAGCATGTGCTCTCAGTGCATTTGCGCAGGGTCCTTTTTTATTTTTACAATTTTCTTCAATTTTCTTTAAGTAATTAGGGTCCTGTTTGTTATAAAATATATAAATTAAGGCCCGAATGTATAAATATAGAATAATGTAGGTGAAGTTTCAAAAAAAAATTTAACTTGCACAGGGTCTAAATAATATTTGGGCCGGGCCTGGATCTGAGATACGAATTTCTGGAAATACGACCAAAGGAGATATTTTATGGAAGAAAACAGGAACTGCTTTTGATATAAGGTAAGAAAATATTTCAATTAGTTCACCACTTATCAAATTGTTGAAACGTTATGTTACTCTACAATTAATTTTACAACAGAGATAGCATTATGCTTTACTTTTTTCTCTTCGTGTGTCCTATATATATATATATTGTTTAACGAAGATTTTGCATCAACACACCATTTCAATAGAGTATTTAATAGAAGTTTAGTCATCTCTGGTGTATAGCTTCTCATTTATGTCATCAGTTACAAAGTTTTATCTGATCTCATAGTAATTTGTTTTGCTGATTGGTGTTAATATGTGAGATAGATTGTTGCTTATGAACATAAGTTACTGCCGTTTATGTCTATCGAAATTGTAATTGGTCAAATTATTAACTTCATGAACTGTATGACTACGTTAGGTTGAAACTGAAATTTGTTCAATTAGGAATGTCATTTGAATCGCCTGCTTAAAGTTTGGATCTTTTGGCTGTAAATTTGAAAATACAGCAAAATAAAAACGGTACTTGGAATCATCTCAACTTTACAAATAATTTATCTTTTGGCATCTGGTCATTGTGATCAAAGTTTGTATTTTTATCTGTATTTTCAGGTTTGGCAAACAAAAAGACGGTGTGATACTTGGAACCACCAAGACCAAGAATCAAAACAAACCCAAGTTCTCTGTTAACAAGTTTGTCCTCAAGGAGTTCCAGGATGACCCGAAGTTGTTGTCAACCAGGTATTACTCAGTTTATTAGTTTCTTCTATGAGATACGTAGCAGTACTAATTTTAAAACTAATATTTAGAAACACAATATAGAAAGGAGAAGTGCCTAGAGCAGAGAATGGTGGAGATACAGAGCAGGTGTTCTTCAGATTATATGTGCGGCTATGCATATCCTATATATATGTGGTTGTTCAGTCATGTCTGATGTATAGCTCATCATATATGTCATTTAGATTTAAAAGGTATAATACATTTAGTAAAGATCATATAACGAGTTAAGTAATCTTAATAACTTTCCGTATCTTATGTTCTGATTTATAGTTCTTGATTTGCTTTCATAGATTGATGTTTCGGTGTTACATGCTGAACCTTCACTTTTTATTGTTAGTTGGATTTGTATGATTGTTTGCAGATGGAGATATTAAATGAATTACTTGATTTAAGAAGCCAAAGAAGCTAGAAATAACTCATAGAACAAGACGTGGATAATTTAGATGAGAATGTGTTTTATTCAACAACCATGCTCACATTTTTTTTTTGGGTTATCCGATCATATACTATAAAATATATTTGAATTTTGTTAATGTATATGTATGCTCTCTTTTCATTGATATAATAATAAAAATGGTTTCTACTATCAACTGTTTTATTTCACCTCTATTCCACTTCTAAATTTATGTATTTGTAGCATTCTCACATCTCAATTTATGTAATAATCAACACAATAGTTTATTTTGACAGATAAATTATGACAGATAAATTGACAGATAAAATCTGCACTACGTTCCCGTAAGCGTCGTCTGCATTTGCGACCGAGGAAACTTCGACTTAGATGATTTTGTTTCGCTTTGCCAAATCAACACAAAAACGCCATTGATTCCCATTGTTTTTGTAGTCATCTAAATATAAAAAACTGCTATTGTTTTAAGAAACAACATCTGTGTGAGGTTGAAAAAAAAGCGATCAATAATCAGTGATTAGGTTCACATAGAAAATCTTGCGGCTCAAGAAATTTAGGATTTTCTATAAAACATTGTCTAATATATATATATTAGATAAAGTCCCGCGTGGATTTATATTAAAATTTTTGAAACATATTACCAAAATATTATTAAACAAAATATGAGAATTCTTAAAAATAAGTAAAACAATATCGAGAACCCGATAAGAACTCACTGAATAACATAAGATGCACGAAAACTTAAATTGTGTATTCTTGTTTTTTGTTACTTTTTCCGTTAGAATATGTAATATTTTATATCTTAGAATATGATGCATGCAAATATACTTTTTTCCGTTATGATATGAAACATTTTTTCAGTTAGAATATGGAAATATACTTTTCTCATTTCTTTAATTTTAGAATATGAGGTATCCAAAAATACTTTTTCCTTCTTCCGTTATAATATGGATCAATTTTTCCGTTAAAATATTGAAAATATATGTTTCCTTTTTTAACACAATTTTAAATATTTTTTTTCCTTTTGTTTTCCAAAACACATATCAAAGTCTTAATATGAGTAAAATTAAAGTTGACACATGTCGTGATAATCTATTATAGGGGTTCACGTAACATATTCCAAGAAGTTATAAAATTTTATTTAGTACATTATTAAGATTAATTAAATGTAACATATTCTATGTACTAAGATTTTGTTTAATTGAATTTAACATGAGTTTACCTATTCCATGTACTAATAGGATTTTGTTTATTTGAATTTAATATGTGTTTTGATAGTATAAATATGATGAATGGGAAATCTTTTTCTGTTAGTTATGATAAATATATTTTTTTTCCTTTTATTATAATGGATACAATTTTCCTTTTTCTAACTTTTTTTTTAATAATTTGTTTTCAGGATACATGTCATGATCTTAGTAGCCATAAAACTAAAAGTGACACATGTCGTGATCCTGTAAAGTATAAAATTCATACGTGTTGCAACCACGTTGCGCGCATCCAGCTTTATATAATAAAAAGATATCGATTAAGTTTGTTAGATGCAATTGAGGGCTAAAAAGTTTGCTAGAGCTTTGGTGAGTTTTTTAAGGTATTTTAGTTAATTATGTTATAATTTGTAGTTAAATGGTTTTGTTAATTGCAGTTTTGACTTTTAATTTTTCTGATAAATGAGAGAGCTTTATTCTCCAAAATCACTTTGCAAATAATAATAGTATAGATAGATATAGAATTAGAAGATATGCTTTTTGTTTTTTTATTTGGGAATATTTTTATAGAATTAAAAACCGATTTTTTTCTTAAAGAAATTAGTTTGGTTTCGATTTTTAAATTTCCGGCAAAATTCGACAGAGATTAAACTAAAGTAAGAATCAATCTTCTAATATATAAATTAAACTAAAAAACAAAGCATTAACCGAAACAAGTTTATTTTTTCTGCTAGTAATAAATCTAATTGGCATTTCACCAAATTAAGATTCTGTTTAAAAGAAAGAGCAAAAAGAAACAATATACATTCGAAAAACATCCATATATAACAAGATCTTAACCATTCAAATTTATACAAAAGAAACAACCCAATCTTAGCCGATAATTGGTAACAAAAATCAATTTCTTGTTATTTAGATTCCTTCTAACAGTTCATCGGAACTAGCTCTATATAAGCAGATAAAATTGCCAAACACTTCTATCATTGTGTCTTAAACAAATAATTTACAAATAACACACTTTGTCTTTGCCACATACCCTAAACAAAATAAAAGATGGCCATGCATTGCTTCTACGTTTAAGGCTTTGTGTTTGTCTCTCTTGTTCGTCGCCGTTGCTAGTCGTCCAACCGTCGGGCCAAAGGTTTTCAATGTCCGACGCTATGGTGCTAAATCTGACGGAAAAACTGATAATGCCAATGTATGTACATACACAATTTTCCTTATTTTAATTTTTTTTTTTGAATATAGTTTTTTAATTTCTTTACTAACCAATGCATATACGATGTTATAGGTGTTCACAAATGTATGGAAAAGCGCATGCGCAAGAAGTGGAAGTAGTAAAATCTACGTACCAAAAGGAACATTCTATCTCGGTGGTGTAGAGTTTGTGGGACCATGCAAAAATCAGATTGAATTCGTCATCGATGGAACTTTATTGGCTCCTTCAAACCCTAGAGATATTAAGCAGGACATGTGGATCAACTTCAGGTACATCAACAATCTATATATCTCCGGTACCGGTACACTCGATGGTCAAGGGAAGCAATCTTGGCCACTCAATGACTGCCACAAAAACACCAATTGTCCTAAACTAGCTATGGTACCATTTCTTTATATTCTTAATGATTCTTTATAATATTACTTTATATGATTATTGATGTAGTTCATTTTAACCGTATTAACAAGATTCTGATTAATTACTTATTAAATTCAAGTCTAGCTAATCTTGTATAAACTTGAATTTTATAGAACATGGGATTTGCATTCGTGAACAATTCAAGAATCGATGGGATAACATCACTCAACAGCAAAATGGGACACTTAACTTCTTCTCCGTCCATCACTTCAACATTACTGGCGTCACCGTAACAGCTCCCGGCGATAGCCCAAACACCGACGGTATCAAGTTCGGTTTCTGTAGCAACATTCGCATCTCTAACACAAACATTGGTACTGGAGACGACTGTATCGCCATTCTTTCTGGAACCTCAACATGGATATCTCTAACGTCAAGTGTGGTCCTGGACATGGGATTAGTGTCGGAAGCTTAGGGAAGAACAAAGACGAGAAAGACGTTAACGGTTAACAGTACGTGACACGGTCTTTAACGGCACAAGCGATGGTATTCGGATCAAGACTTGGGAATCTTCTGCTGCAAAGATCGTCGCTTCTAACTTTGTGTTCGAGAATATTCAGATGATTAATGTTGGAAAACCAATCAACATCGATCAGAAGTATTGTCCTTACCCACCTTGTGAAAAGACGGTTAGCTTTCTACACAAGAAACAAAGTCTATTTTTTTTTTCTTTCATCACACGAAACAATAACTAAAGAAAAGAAATTGTGTGTTTGTTTTCTTTCAGGGAGCGTCTCACGTTCAGATAAAGGACATTAAGTATAAAAACATATATGGGACGTCGAAGAACAAAGTGGCAGTGAATCTACAATGTAGCAAGAGCTTTCGTTGCAAGAATGTTGAGCTAATTGACATTAACCTTAAGCATAACGGAGTTGAGGGTGGTCCTTCCACTGCCGTGTGCGAGAATGTTGATGGTTCTGCTCGTGGTAAGATGGTTCCTCAGCATTGTCTGGCTTGATTAGGTCACATATCTTGTATTTGATATTTTCATATTTGTATAATTTGATGTATTATATCATGTAGTCTTTCTGTAAATAGATATAATTAACCAATATTGAAAGAAAACGAAAATTCATTTGATATATTGGATGTTTAAAAAAACAAATATGGTAAAGGAAATGAAAATCATACATCCCCTAATATTAAAAAAAAAAAATACTATCCATGTTAATTACTTGCTGTAAGATAATATTACGGCCGTTTACTTAGTTATCATCACTTCTCTACTGCCATTCTTTAAAGCAATTTATTATTTCATGATCTTTTGTCAGTCAAAACCTATCTAATGAATGGGAGGGGGAGTCCGCTTTGAAATCGTCCACTTGAAATCGTCCACCTTGCGCCTCGCAGTATATGATTTAAAAGGAATCACACAAGGATAAATTGATACAGTCTAAACCTCAGGTAAAATACCCCGTGCATGTCCAACGTGCTTCTACACGTTAAGCAAATCTAAAAACATATGACTTTTCACAAAAGAAATTTCAAAATCACAAAAATAGTAGTATAACTTAAAAAAACATTAGGCCTTCACAAAATACACCAATTTTAAACAAACAGTCCGAATTTTATAAATGGTTTGTAAGAAAATAAAAGAAAAACTTATATCGCTATGACTTTCTTTGCATTTTTACTTGCAAATTTATTAAATCATGTACATAGTCGAGTTTTTCAACCATAACATTTTCGATCAATCGATAACAAAGTCTTGAAAGTGCAGGGGCCACCAACACATACAGTGAATCATATAGAAAGTAGTATAGAACATATAGTAGTAAAGACATATAGAGTTTTTATCGAGGTTCGTTTTCTACATCCCTGGAACCTCGTCCAGAAGAAATACACTAAAACAAGAGTACAATTACAACTGCTATGGTATCCAGTACTATAATGTCTACCTTTCTTTTCTAGATAGTTACATTCAAACAATTCCCTTAACCCTTTGTTAGGTCTTTCTGTTTTAGAAAAGTTTATGAATTATTTATTTTAGAAAATAATGAAATTATATTTTCTAATTACAACAAAAATAAAATTGTGTTACAGTAAAATAGTTATGTAGAATTTTCAATAACCAATATTATTAATTTACATAAGCTTATCTAACACAAACAAATTTTTCAAAACTTAAAATTGTAATATCGATAGAGATATCTATGAGATAAGCAAAACATGTATAAGTTTTTATCAACACATAACATATAGAAACACTACAAGAAAATTGAGCATAGATAGCGTCCGAAAAACGCTATTACTGAAAACGATAGCGTTTTGGTGAACGATGTGTCTGCGCCCGTTATCTTTCTCATCCGCTTTTGATAGCGTTTTTACGTATGCTATTACAATTAATACTTTCGATGGCGTTTATTTCTCCGCCATTATAGATTTTTTAATAGCAGTTAATAATTGCTGTTGATTATTTAAGGAAACGCTGTTATATTTCACAAATAGTTTTAATAGCGTCATTGTTATGTTATTGTATTTGTAAGATTAGGTGGAGAATTTTGTTGTTTTTTGGGATTCACCATTGTTTTGTATATGCGTTTTCTGTCATAGTCTACTCAAAACATACCATTTCATTACCAAAACATACCATTCCATTATTACATAACCAAAAGACAAACGATTATTCAAGCCATCCGAGTTCAACAAGCAATACAATCAAACGAGTTCACATGTAAGAAATTGCATCATTAGGCCAAGCAACTGTAGAACCCAATGCATCAGCAACAAACTTGAATTCTGAGGTTGGTCTCCATATGCGTGCATCATAAATCATACATACCTCTACCCATACATTGCTCGCGTTTGGTCCCAATGGAACGAAATGGACTTTGTCTTTTGGAGTTGTTGATAATACTCTGCCTTCTGCCACCTTTTTTCCTGATCCAAAGCAGTCTAGGATGAAGCATTTATTCATAAAATGTCCGCTAGTTCTGGAGCTGTTAGTTACACTCTATACACGAAACATCCACACAGATCATCACTACCATAACATGAATCTTAGGTGATGAAAACATATATTTATGTGTAGAGTTTTACCTTAGGTGATGAATCTTTAGATGTTTCTGCTCCTTTACCGTCTGATGGCACCGCTCCTGCTTTGTTAACCAATGGTTCTGCTCCTTTGAGAGTAGAACCTGTTCCAGTCCGATAAACTTCTTCCTCCATTAGTTGTACATTACACTGTCTAACCTTCGAAATGGGCCATGCTATATTCGTGAATAGTGCATCACCCATCACATTCATATCTTCGCTTGGTCTCCACAAGTAAGCCTCCTTGTTAATCACATGGTCAATATTAACTATTGCTGCATTCGGACCCAAAGTAATATTATTCAAGATCTCTTTTGGGTCATCTGAAATCAAATATCCCTCAGCAATTACTTCAGAGTCATTGTTCCAAGCGATAATCTCGATTCTGTCTTCTAATGCATATGTAGCCTAAATAGTCACGCAATACATAATACATGTGTCACATAACCTCAAAAGTATTGTACGGGTAAAATAGGTGAGCAACATTCATGTCGGATAAAAACCTTACCGATGAACCGGCTCTCTTGTTGACAGTTTCAGAGTTCGTACTGTCGACAATGAGCTTATCAAATGGCCATGCAATCTTGCATCCCACAGCTTGTCCAAGTGAAGTGATAGTTGTTGTAGGCCTCCATACATATGCTTCTTTATCTGCTACGAAGTTAACAACCACAGCTGCTGCATTTGGTCCAATAGGAATACGGCCAATCTTGTAAGTTGGCTCAACAGAGCATAATTCTCCTTCACCGACAACAACATCATCCTCAGAATACCAATCAAGTATCTGACACCTAGGTCCTCCTTTGCTTGTACCAATGTCATCGGATGGTGAACGGTCATCCAGATTTCTCTAAGAAATTTTTTAAAATTAGTATTTGGTCAACTTTATATCATTGTAAACACATTAAACTACGAACTTACTCTTTTCCCGTTTGCTAAGTCACGCACCAAAAGTTTCAAATCTTCAATTTCGCTCACCAACACTTCTTGCTTAGCTTCAAGCTTCTGCACATGTGCATCTCTAGCCTGTATGAAAGCCAACTTCGTAGCGGTAATCCCTCTGCCCATTCCTCTGACTCTTCCACTCTTGTCTATACCTAAAACCTTACTCACAGCATCTTCTTTAACACTAATGCTGGAGTTTGAGCCAATCTCACTATCAAGTGATTTAATTTGTTCCTGATATCAATTAAGAATGTGTATCAACTTTCGTTTCTACTCAGGTGCAACAAAAATTAAAGTTTGATTACTTCTTACAATTGTTTCTTCATGCTCCGGTCTCACGGCTCTTCCATCTGCATGGGTATGTCCAGCTATCCAGATCTTGCTTCTAGTAATCTTACTTGGGTCAGAAGCCTTTTTTTTCTACAAGTACCAGAGAAACCAATTAAGTATATATATTCAACTCGGTACATTGCACAACATAGACATACCATTTCATCAGCAAGGCGAACCATTCCTTTGCGACTGGTGGTATGTGGAATCTGACGTTTCCGCAATGCTCTGAATTTGTCACTTCGTTCCTGCATTTAGTTTCACTGTGATTAATGTAACATCATTCCCACAAAACAACTATGTATTTCAATGGGAATATTTTAACAAAAACCACCTTGAAAGATTGACCGGTCTTCCTCTTGACCCATTGTATCCAAGCTGAGGCATTGTGAATGTTGCTTGGTTTTAAGCTACGTAGCTTTTCCTTACTCTTTGTAGCACGCAGTTCCCTCACTAGCCTAGACTTAGAACCTCTAAAAATGCAACCCATTTGTTGGAAGACAGATGTCTTTTGCCAGCCTTCTGTTAAATTGAACCTCGCCTACAACAGGTCCACCACATGTTATCAGTTAAAATACAGAGAAAACACTGTCAAAGTACAGAAGAAGAGCAGTTGTACCTGAACCTCTTCCCACATTGTCTCTTTTGTCTGCTCATCAATGTGCCTCCAATCGTCTAGAAGCACAGGGACGTACTCTCTCACAAGAGGGCCAAGGAAAGAAGAAAGTGCAACTGAGCCTTTACCAATAGGTTCACCTGCACTGTTAAACTCGACTCCCACCTTCTCCTCATGGCTTTTAGCCACTTTGTTCATCCTCGTTGGTCCTCTGGTTTTCTTCTTCTTGTTTCCACCTTGATCTTTGTCAAATTCTTGTTCTTGTCCTGCTTCCTGATCTTTTTTATTGTCCGGGTCAGGTCTTTCTTCACTTCCTTCAGCTTCTGTATTACCCCTATCTCCATTTGATAGTTCTTGGTTATTGATTCCCTCATCGTCTTCTTCACATTCTTCTGCAATAGGTTCATCATGATCGCTCTGAAGGACATTCTCAGGATCTTCATCATGCTTACTCTCAGACTCGTCATCGAAGGTATCCTCAGATTCTTGATCATCCCATACCTCTGCTATTCTTGCTCCTCCACATGACGCAAGGGTTCTTTTCCGGCTACAAGTCTTCACTTGATTAGGTGTTTCATCAATGCCTTGCTGACGCCTGCTGCGTCTTGGAATAATTGGGTTGGATTGCGTATTCATGTCTCTGTAATTAAACCAAAAAGAGTCATATTATAGTCTAAAGAACACAAATATGATATCTACTAATCCTATCCACCAATTCTAACTCAACTAATACTAACTCTACAGATGTGCCTAATTCATTACGTAGACCCCTTCACAGTCAACCCTAACACAGGAACTCTCATCATCTGAGATTTGATTCTCAAACTCTTCACATTGCTGACTGGCTGATGGTGGTGCGAGAATGGATTCTTCTGTCTCCAACTCATGATAGCCTCTAGGTGGCGCCTTCATGACTACATACCAAGGGGATGAGTCGTCTTCTCTAGAATAAAAATCTTGTTTCGCTTGAGAGGGCATTATATACGGATCTTGGCGAAATGCTGTCTGATTGATATGCAGGTTTACAAGCGTGAAGCCATCCTCTTCCTTCAAACCATACCCTTTGTTGGCCCACTTACACTTGAAGAGTGGAATCTGGAACATATGATAATCCAGCAAAATTATTTCTTGTATGACTCCGTAGTACGTGACAACGTCTGCCATGTGATTAGTATCTCGAGCACTGGAACGACACATCGAGAAAGCTTCATAAGATACTCCACTGTTCTGAGTCTTTCTCTTTACATCCTCTGTGTGAAAGCGATTTCCATTAACTATGTATCCCCTATAGTTCTGAGCTTCATATCTTGGCCCAAAAGCTAACCACCGAAGCTTCTTAGGATGGTTTGAGTGACTTCGGATCTAATCACAAAACAAAGACAGAAACAAAACTGATTTTAAGTAAGATAGTATTAGATATGAAGAAATCCATAATATATGTATGTATCCGTTACTGTTTGTATTACCTTTTGTTTAATCCATTGTGTAAACCTTTTCCCATCCAATTTCCACAACAGAGCTTCATTTCTTCTACACCGCACATCCGCTGCTTGTAATTCTTCCAAGTGCATCCTATAATCGTACATTTAGTTTCCAAAGTATGAAACTTAATAAAAAAAAAAGGTTATTGATCTACTTACTCAACATATGGCGTGAACATTGCTGTGTTCATCAGAACATATCGATGGGCTATCTCACGCTCTTTTTCTGTAAGTGTAACGGCTTTGGCCTTGTGGATTGGTCTACCTTCAAGGATTTCCTCATTTGGTTCAAGGTCTTCATTACGGTTTGTATTTTCCCAGCCTTGTACATATGTCTTCAGAAACTCCAAACAGAAAGCAAGGCATTCACCTGCCATGTATCCATCGGCCATACATGCTTCTGGTCTAGCATAGTTTTTAACATATGACTTGAGTGTCTTCATGTATCTACATCTCAAACAACAAACATAGTAGTCAGTATTCTGAAAACGGAACAATGAAAAATAAAATCATTCAGATTATGAAGATATACCTCTCGAAAGGATACATCCATCTGAAGTGGACCGGCCCACCCAAACGTGTCTCCCTTGCTAAATGAGCAGGAAGGTGGAACATTATATCAAACAGTGAAGGAGGAAAAAACCTCTCCAATTGGCACAATGTTTCAATAACCTCTGTCTCCAATGCTACAAGCTTCTCCGGGTCAATCACACGCTGACATAATCGACTAAAGAAGTTGCATATTCTCTTCACAACAGTCCGAGGCCCAATTTGCAGCAATCCCCTCAAAGCTACAGGTAACAGGTTTTGTAGCAATACATGGTGATCAACTGAAACACAGTTTGCAATATTCGCACAGTACCCATCTGGTCCTCTAAACTCAGACAATCTCGTGCAAAACGTCTTTTTCTCAGTCTTCGACAGCCAGTAAGCAGCAGGTGGTAAATAGTTTCTTTTCCCACGTACTTGTGCGTATAAGTCTTCCCGAATTCCCATATCCTCCAAATCACGTCGCGATTTCAAGCCATCTTTTGATTTAGAACTTTGCATGATGATAGCCAATAAGGCATCAGACACATTCTTCTCCACATGCATTACCTCTATGTTGTGTCGTACATGCATATTCTAAAACATATGAACAAATAACTCAGTTAAAAATTATGAAGAAATTGAAATATTTAGTTGTTTAGGTGATATTCTTACCTTCCAGTATGGCAGATCAAATAAAATAGACCGCTTTTTCCATCTCCATTGATCACTGTCTTCATCATTCCTCATCAGAAAGCTCATCGTTTTCACACAAACCAGCTGATCTCTTTCGTTTTCCCTTCTTCGCTAAAGCTCTACCAAAATCGTTCCTCAAGTCTTTCAACTGCTCGAATATCTCAACACCTGACTGAATTCTAGGCACAGTCCCTTCTTCTACTGTGTTATCAAACCAACTCCGTCTGCGTCTGTAAGGATGCCCAGGCCGTAGTCTTCTCCTATTGCATAAGTAGACATGTTTTCTACTAAATTTGAGCCACCTGAAAGGTGTATCCTTTCCGCAGACGTTACATGCCTGTTTACCTTTGACTTTACAACCCGCTAATGTCCCTAAAGCAGGATAATCAGTGATTGTCCACATCAAAATAGCTCTGAGATTGAAAGTTTCCTTTGAGAATGCGTCATAAACCTCTATACCTTCACTCCATAGATCATGCAGGTCTTCTATAAGCGGCTGAAGATACACGTCGATGTTGTTGCTCGGTGCAGTTGGTCCAGGAATCAACATGGTGAGCATAATGTTATCCGCCTTCATACACATTGTAGGTGACATGTTGTAGTTGACTAACATCACTGGCCATGTACTATACTTCGTGTTCTGTATCGAGAATGGGTTCATCCCATCCGTAGATAAACCAAGTCGAAGATTCCGCTTCTCAGATGCAAATTGAGGCCATTTGTTGTTAATCTGAGCCCAAGTGAGTGAGTCACATGGGTGTCGCATTGTTCCATCTCCTGAAGCATTACTGAAATGCCAACACAGATCCTCAGCCATCCTTTTGGACCTGAACATTCTTCTGAATCTGTCCTTTATCGGGAAATATCTAAGAACCTTAGCAGGAATCCCATTCTTCTCCTCCCTTGTGTGCTTATCCACTTCCCATCTAGAAGCATTACATCTTGGGCAGCTTGTCAAATCCGCATACTGCTTCCGGTATAAGATGCAATCATTCTTGCATGCGTGAATGTTGTCGTAGCCAAATCCAAATATCTTCAAGAACTTCTTCATCCCATCTGTAGATGTTGGAAGGACATTATCCTCAGGTAGCATGTCGTGAACTAACTTCAGAAGCTGATCGAAATAGTTCTCTGACATTCTGCTTTTCACTTTTATCCTGTAAAGTGACATGACAGCAGACACTTTCGTGTGGTTAGGACATGTGTTGTAGAGCGGAGTTTCAGCATCTCGCAACTTTCTTGTAAACTCAGAATCTTCTTCATTTTCAGTAGCATCATTCTCATCTTTGTTACTCACGGGTACTGAATTGTCTTCTCCATCGAAGAAAGCAGTTTTGAACAACTCATATGCTTCAAATTCAGAAGTCTGCTCATCACCGACCTTCAAATCCCTTTTCTCCCCATGCTTAGTCCAACATCTACTCCTTTTGTACTTCTGATCCATGCCTCTAATGACCAGATGATCCAATGTCGTGGATAGAGGTTGGTGGCAAAGATTTCGGCAATCGAGACATGGACACAAGATGTTTGGAAGATCGCCTAACCTCTTAGCAGATCCGTTAACAAAATCTGTTGCTCCTTGCTCATACTCAAGGCTAGTCCTGTAACATATTAACAATGGCAAAATCAGTCAATGTTCACAAGAAAACTCAGTTTTAAGTGAAGGAATTGACAATAGTATAAAGTATACCTTGGAAGCCAAACCCAAGACTTATCCATTTCACACCACCACCAAAGCTGCACGGTCAAAGGAATACATACATTTGTGATAAACGGTTCTTACATCAGACGGTCCCAACGACGCAAAAACACATAGACACATACGAGATCATATGAAGAAGGGAGTAAAGTACCTTAAGATAAGTTGAAGATCTTCTTAACTATAATCTGCAAAGACATCAAAGCCACATGATGCAAATTAAAATTAATTAACAGTAATTTGAAACACCAAACTAGAACCGAAAAGACTTAAGAAAACCCAAAATTATAAATACCTTAGATCTAATCCAACACCCAACTATGACTGTGAAACCTGCCGAAAATGTTTTAGAAATAGTCATCAAAAACATCGACATGCATCTTTCTCTATAAGAAAACCCCCAAAATGTCACATACCTTAGGTTACAAATAGATCTTGAGCTGGCGACAATTTGCCTGTAAAATACATAAAATTGTCAAAATTTTTCTTTAAATTAATCATCTAGACACTCAAAATCGACATGACTTTCGACTAGTGATGAAATATAACCTTCAATCGAAATCAACGGAGACGAGACCGCTGCCGTGAGATACTTACGTCGATTTGAGAAACAGATTCCGGAGAAACGAAGACGGTGGGGAGATTGTTGCCGTGGGAGATCGAAATCAACAGGGAAGAGACCGCCGCCGTGAGATAACTTCGTCGATTCGAGAAATAGATCCCGGAGAAACCAAGACGGTGGGGAGATTGTTGCCGTAGGAGATCGAACGGTGAGTAGATTAATGCGTAATTGTGGCCGGCGGAGGGAAAGCGATAAGAGATTCAGAGGGAGATGAAAAAAACTTAGCGCTCGTTTTTTTTTCGTAAGTATACTTAGCCGGGAAGTGAAATAAAAATTTTCCGCTTATACTAAACATAGCGTTTGTTTCTTTAAGCAGGTTATTAAAATACGGTTTACATTAAAAAACAGAGGTTTTTTAAACACCAAACAAATACATAGCATAGACGTTTAATGAAACGCTATCTTAAATACATAGTTGGTTCAAATATTGCATTCACATAAAAAACGCTATCTTCTTATGCTATCTATACTCAATTTTCTTGTAGTGAAACCAAAGAAGAAGAAAAAACGAATAAAATGAGAATAGACCGAAGAAAAATAAACGAAAGAAGAAGATTAAGAATATCGTTTTACTATAATCACTATAATCATTCTAGGAAGATAAACTTTA